TGTCAGACTTAGAGAGTGAGAACTAGCTTAATGTGAGTGTTACTGGATGTGTCCAATGGATTTTATGTCCCTCAAAGCAAGGAGAAGGGRATGGCATTACATTATTAACCCAAAAGTTTCAAAGTCTTAAGTCARTTCATACCAACATTCAGTGGTTTTACAGAGCATAGAGGTAGGCAGGTCCACGTTTGATTTCTTTATCCTCTACTTTCAAAAGGACATGCTTAACATTTCTCAGAGGAATTGCTATGAATTCTACTACAAGTTAATTCTAATAAATTTTAATTGTTTGAAATTTAAATATGTGCAATCAAAAAAAAAAAAAGCCTTTGGCCATTAGAATGAAATCATGGGCTACAAGTTCTCAGTGAGATGCACCTTTTCTAAGGTTGTATCTTCCTGTCCTGCACTGCTCTTCATGTTGTTTTCAATGCTACATTTACCTGCCAGTGCACCCATAGAAGCAGTTACAGTGCCTCCAGCTGTGCTGGTAAGTCAAGAGAAGGCAGTAACCACAGAGTAAGCCGTAAGCCATGGAAATCATCTTTTAATCTTAATGTGGATAATCTGAAAGCCAAGGATAAGAGACAGGGGATCTAACATTCTTCTGATTTAAGAGAGTTGAGCATCAAAACAAAAATATTATAACAAACATCCTAGTGCTGCTTTTATTTTTTTCATGCTWCTTATTTCTTGTAGTGGATTCCATTAAATATTCAGAGGTACTGAAAAATGTTTCAGATTTCTGAACTTAGGGCCTGCATGCTCAGTCTGCTTGAACATTTCTTCTTCATCTGCCTCGGGCCTCAATTTGCCCAAATATTACGTTTTCTGTAGTAGATGAAGTAAAACTGAGGAAGTATAGGAAAGCTCCCTCTGTAAGGGAAGAATAAAAATGTTACTGCAGTATTTTGGTCAAATTAAATAATCTCATTATTCCTTGAATGGAATCAAAAGGAAAAACATTCAGGACCACACTGGAACAGGCTGGAGAATTTTCTTGTTGGTGGGCCAGTTTCCCTGTTTCTGCTGAGACTCCAAGTGATTGATGGTGTCAAGTGAGAACAACACAATTAGGTTAACTTACACATTAATTAGTTTATTGCTTTCTTTTTGTTTGGTCCCTAATGTGTTTGTTTAACGAAAAAAAAAAGAACCATGTTCCTTTGAAGGGGCTTAATTTCACTAATTAAAATCTGAGTGCCCGCATAGCAACACCTGCCTTGTAAATGAGTGAATAGAACCCCGCGAGCAGCTGGAGAGGACACTTTGACAGGGAAATAATGCCGACCGCTGCCTCGGCTGCGCAGCCCATGTTCTGCTTGCACCMGTGACTTTGGGTGCATGGGGAGTGCAGGAACAAATGGGGACGTGGTGCCTTGTGACAGCAAGTGGTCAGCGCGATGTCACCGCGCTTGGGAAGCGCCCAATACTTTTCCTGTACTCTTAAAAGGTGATCATACACAGGGGACTGTTYGCTTCCCGTGTCTGAGATGCGGTGGGGTACCTGCAGGCACTGTGCCCAAACCTGCACTGAATTTCTTATTAGCAAAGCTGACCAAGTAAGTAGTATGTCTATAATTAACATTAATGCTGGGTTTCTCATATTATTTTTTTTTTCCTTTAATCAGGCCTTTGCAATCACTGTGGCTGTGCAGGRGTTTCCAATGGAATTGCAACTTCTCTGGCAGCTTAATTTCATAATGTTTCCTGAAAACCTTACAGATTAATCCAATTTAAGGATTAATTTCTTTTTAAACATTCTAATAGACTGCAGTTTTTCAAAAATGAATATATAGTGACATGCATGTTCTGGATTTCCTTATATATTATGTCGCTAAATCCATTATATGCCTTCAGTTACTGCTCATAAAAGGGGATTTAACATAAAAGCTCTTTTAAGAATAAGACTAGGTTCTAACTATTTTATGTGATAATGAAATAAAAGATGGCTTTAATAGTTGCAGTTTCCTCCTGACATATTAATCAAATTCCCTACATAATGTAGATGGAAGGCAGCCTCTGCACTTAAACACAACTCTTTGTAACTCCTTGTTCTTAAATCGTGAAGACAGCAGTGAGTACYATCAGGGATGCATTTGTTTAATCATGTATTTTCCCTAAAGGGGAAATCTAGTGTGTTGGCTCCATTAAAGAGTATGGGCTTCTTCCCAGCCCAGGCAGAAGGCCCCGCGTTGGATGAAGGCACCTGAGGGGTGGCATGTGAGGCAAGCAAGTCGAATGCATCATTTTATTAAGTATTAGTTAAACCCGTCAACCTGGCTGGTATGTATCACTCGTGAACCTCTTAGCAAGCAAAATATTCAATATTAGCCCACTYGTTGCACAGAAGCACTCCTGGAGCTGATAAGAAATGCTATTTTGATCTTAGAAGGTGACGGTTGCAGAACAGATATACCTTGCTGCTTTTCCTCAGCGTTACAAAAGTTTGTTTGGTGCACTTGTATGCATCTCATCTTCTCTAGCTTAGCTTAGCTGAAATTTTGTTTTTCTAGTCCTGTGTCACCTGCGTCCTGCATCCAGTCATGCAGAGCTCACACGAAAAAAACTTGAACAGAATGGAATTGCTCAGGAGCCTCAGTACACCAAAAGTCTCATTTCATTTTTAGGATTTGCATGTAATGGTTTGTTTCCTACCACATGGTTACTACTTGAAAGCGAATAAGTTCCACTGGTCTGTTCCACAGAGCTATTTTCTTGGGTGCTACCAAGTTGCTGTATCACATTATCCTATTTGCATCATATTTAAAAATTTATAATAGATTCCTGGAGAAAGAAGAGGATCAAAAGCTCAAGGTTTTTGTTTCCCTGTTCTAGATCAAGGGATTCTAACGGGAGCTCTCAACTCCTGTATAATTCAGAGAAAGGAAAGAAGTATTGGACATGCTTTTAGGAACTGTACTTGAGCAGGAGTTGAAAAATTGATTTTTTTTTTTTTTAATATGATTCCATACTTCCTGATTACCAAGTTCTAGCCCAAAGGAAATCTTTATGGTTGAGATAAAAACCTTTGAAAGGAGAGAGGTTATAATGGGAAAGGCTGACAGCCTCTTGACTTACAGCAACCCTAGCCATTATAAGATGTGTGCACATTTGTGTGTGTGCGCGCACATAGTTTGGTCATGACAGATGCTGAACATCATTTTTCCAAAAGGCTGCCCTTGAAAAWTTTCTGTACTGGAGTACCAATAAATGATAGAGAGTACTAAAAGCTGCAAAATGTCAAACAATATATGGCTTATGACATGATGCAGTTCAATTTTCTAACGTCCAATCCCTGTAWCTTTTGAGGCACTCTCTGCTAGAACAGAAGTAAAACTGAGAAATTGTGTGAAGAGGGTGGACAGAGTCATAAAGATTTGRTGTCCCTAAAATGCTAATGTGGATAATTAGCCAAGTATCTATTTTGCCTGCCTTTTAGCCTCCCAGGTTTGAAAAGCCTGGAATGAGAATTTGCAAAGTATTTAGGCACTTAATAGTAGATGGAATATGCCTTTTGAAATAGTTATTCCTATTTCTTTAGAAGTCTCTGTTTGTGCTGATGTGCAGAAAAAACTTTCTTTTTTCATTCCTCTGTTATCTTTCCATGAATTTGAATTATAATCTCATGGCATTGACCAATGTCTGTGAAAATTTTTCTGCTTGCAGTAAATGGATCTTTGAAAGGTAGGGAGGGTTGGCCGTCCTTAAGCAGCTGCTGCCACTGACTCAGGAACTTGTTCCTTCTCCAAATTCAAAGGCAAAAAAAGTGTTCAGCTAGTAAGGAGAAACTCCTAGTTTCAATAAGAACTTTTATTATGCTAAAWCCTTAGTGCTGCTTTGAAATGAATTGCAGTGGATCACCATAACAATACCATAATAGATAACCTAGACATTGCTGTTAAATTGATGAAAAAAGTAGTTGTAGAATGAATTTCAAAGGAGCTTTTTCCTGCAGCAAGTAGAAGCAATTGTATGAGATATCACAGAGTTTTTCTGTCATATTTGATTTTGGGTATGTTGGTGATACCATAGGATCTGTGCACTTATATAGGCCAGTTGTAAGCAGACATTAGTTCATCTTGCAGCAGTCAACTTAGATTTTTAACCCTTATGATTGAGTTTTGATGTGTGATGGTTCTTTTCACACCTTAATAGGTAGTTCTGTCTTTAAAASGACAATAATTCTGTATATTCAACAGTGCTGTGTCAATATAAAGTTCACTGAAGTCATTGAAAGTGTTTCTTTCAACAGAAATGAAGATTTGTTGAATTTTGAGTGCATTAATAGTTCATATGCAAATACTCCATCTATTCCATCTAGCAGAAGATGACAGTTCTCTTCAAGTGCACTCATGGTTTCTCTGGTCACAGGAGGAAGGGGTTTATTACTAGGGGATTTTTCTCTCTGAAAAACACACTATGTAAGACTCCTTCCAGGTTTTTGTTTTGTTTTGTTTTCCTAARAAAATCTTGCTAATCCTGTTTTAGCATATGATTATTATAGAGCTGAGGTTAACTTTAAAATAAAATGCATCTGGAAACAGATCCTTGGTTCTTCCAAAAGATGGAAGTACATAAAATTGAGATTCTAAGTTATCTGTTGCATGAAATTTCAAATGTAACAGAAAATTTGAACTATCCATTAAATGAATAATATCCATTTTCTTCATCACTTATACTAACATCTTTAATTATAGTGAATTAAATTGATATGAACATGGATGTCCTATGCAGTGCTGTTAAAAACCTTTTGCACCTTAGCAGTAATTAATATACCATTATTATCGGTGTAGCCATGCTCTGGGATTTATTCTTCATTCAGAATTTGTCCTTTTTCCCCCTGGTTAAAGAGAAAATAGGTGCAATATGAATGTTTTGAATTCTTTTAATGTCATACGTATCTTTATGAAATATCTCTTGAAAATGAAAGAGTAAATGCTGAAAATCATTGTTTCCTTTTCCTATTTCAACTTTGATCTTTCTGTTTCTCTTCTAAGAAACCTGTCCCTAAAGCTATCGAAAGAAGTGGAGCAAGGAGAAGGCAGGTACCCTCGTGTCAGCCAGCTGGCTGGCAGCCCGTCGGTGGAGTGGCCTTTTGCTGGTCTGGAAGAAGGAGGAGGAATTGAATCTTTGCCCTTCAGATTGATGTTGCAGGACTGCACGGCTGTAAAGACATTGCTGCTGAAAATGAAGAGGGTTCTTCAGGAGGTAAGCACTCATTTATTAACTTAATAGCTTGCGGGATTATTGCAGAAGAAGGAGATCACAAAAATATTATGACCTTGATGTCTTTTAATACATTTTCAGTATATGGAATTGGTAAAGAAGTATTTGCTTTGAGTGTTTGAAACGCTAGGATAATTTAAGAATTTCTACTGAAGTGGCAACTAGTGTAAAAGGAGGGAGGTCATGCTATGCATCAGCTTGGAGCAGAAGATCTTTTTAAGTATTTTACTTTGCTATTGATTTATTATTTTTGATGTAAATCTCATTTCTRGACTGCTTTTTATATCTTCAACCTATAGTGATGAATAGTGCCTCAGTGTGGTTAAGTTCAGGACGCTTATGCCTATACTGGAATTTGACCAAAAACTGCCGTCTCTCTATAAATTGCTCTTAAGCCTTGACCAAAAATGTGGAGGGATGGAATGGGCTGCCTTAGCTTAAAATATTGTTCTGTCTTTTACCTTTCTTATGTTGAGATTTTCAATTTTCTCTCTATATTTGCTACTGACCAGGAAGTTATWTGCAATTAATTCAGACAAGAGATGCACAAGGAAGGAAAATGCTCTTCTGAGTATTTTAGAGGTATTAATGTTAAAGGTTACCAGCTTAGGTTTGTAAATGACAGGCAAAATTGGATTTCTCAGGCCATTCTAACAGTTTTGAGAATACTGACTTGTTCATTCCTGCTATATTCTCCAGGCTTCCTTATGAACTGCAGGATAAACTGAAAATTTTATTTTGTATTAAATTCCCTTAAGGATTTGAGAAGAAACCAGATTATTAATCGTATTGTCCATTGAGTTAGAATGCAGATTAATTACTAAGAAGCTTTAAGTTTTGTGTTAGTGTACCRCAGAATACTGTTCTCTGAAATCTCAAAAAATGGTTGTTGTTGTTGTTTTGTCTGTTCAGTTCTTAGGAATAAAGAATAGTTTAGGTTAGGAGGACTCTCTGAAGGTTCTCTCACCTTCATATCAGGCAGGCAGTTTCCGTGGAGAAGGTACGGTACTTCTATTGTAACTAGATATAATTTCTTCATCCAAAAGCTCCTTCTGCCCCACCAGTATTATAAATCAAACTCAAAAGAGAATTAAAGGACGTAAAAGGACAGAATTAAAGGACGTAAAAGGAGAATTCTTTCTTTACCATGGAAATCTCATGCATATTTAGGCCTACTCAAATATAGTTGCTGGCAGGTTTATGCGGTATAGAAGTGAAATATTTTATGCCTAATACAATATAAAATAAATATATTTGTGCTGAAGAATGATAGTATGTCACATGCTTTAATACACTTTTAAAAATACATGGAGCATGCAATATACATAGGAAACAAATCTACATATGAATTAGCAGGGAAAAAAGCTGCAGTATTTCTGTTTTATCGCTGATGTTATCCACAGAAGACAGAATTACAGAAGTGTATACCTCCTTATTGAACAATAACATGTTAGGAGAGTTAAAATATTAGCCCTGCTATTCAATATAATGATTCTTGTTAAGCACTAAGCTCCATGTCTAAGGTACAATCTAATTRTGATCTGGCAAAATTTAATACCTGCTAAAACAATATGCTGGTTTTTGTTGCATTGCTGTGATTGAAGAATTTATATGGAAAAGCTACATATAATTTATGCAATGCTGAGCTATAGGCTTATAAAGCTGTAGGTTTAGCTTATTAGCCTTATCGTGCAAAGGGAAACTGAAGACATGGCAGTAACAGGCAAGATTGAGAATGTTATTAGGTAATRTACTTAGTAGAAGTCTAAAGAACGATCATTTAATTATGAGAATTAATTGACATTTCACTTTTAGTGAAAAAGCATTGAAAATGTCTGCTARTAATACTTTGCAAGTTCAGCCACGAAAGGCTCAGAAAGCAGGATGCCCCAAATGCTTTGAGGAACTCTGTGAACGAAGCTGCAGACCACCATCTGGAGCACCTTAGTGTGCAAGGAAACTTCGGTGTCCTGCTGAGACGGGTCCAGGGAGTTTTTCTTTATCCCCTCTGGCAGCTTTTTCTCATGGATGTTCCCTTGCTGATAAGACAGGTCTGCAATAAAGGGAGAAAGCAAGACTCGTGGCCTGTAAAGTTGGTTTGATGAAGAAACATTGCCAGAGATGACCAGTTCAGGCAGCTTGATAAAAGTTGCTTCAGTATGTGAGACTTTACGGTCGTTTTCGTAGCCTGCCTGTGATTCACAGGGAGCTCTTGGTCTCCCTTTTCTCCATTGCAGTGATGTTTATTAAACCATTTGCTTCTCAGGGTCTAGATGGCATTGACCGATGTTCAGTAGTAACTAGCTGACCCTCATATGAAAAAGCAGAAAAGAAAAATGGGGAGTTGGATGAATAAAACAGGTCAGTTCATCCTCCCCTTGGAAATAGAGTTCTTATCTTMCAGTTAAGATGGGTATCTGTATTCTGAACTGGTCCTCCAAATCACCGCCTGTGTGGTTATCCTTTCTTCCTTGTACTTTCTATATGACATTTCTGGCCCCTATTTGGATGCATATGATCAGTGAGTATCAAAAGCCTCTAAAAAAATCAAAATGTAGCCTCTTGCTCATTTATTGTTGTGAACAGTAATGAATATATAATGCCCCATTCCCAAACAGTATATAGACTTTTCTGTATTCTTCCAGATGGGCTTGAAATGATTTCTCCCTAATAATTTCTTTATGGATTGAGTTATAGCTAATTGAGACAATATTTGAAGGCTGGTAGATTGAGAGAATATACAAGAGATTTGTCTTTATTGAAAGCACTGGTAAAACGTTTCAGGCAGATGCATGAAAGGAAAGATATCCCAGGTTTGTACCTGGGAAGAGAGGGGTTTTATGTAGAAATAAACATACAGGACCAATTCAGCTATTTTGGTTAAGTTTAAAAGAGTAGGATTAGGATTTGTTGATTATTTTGGGCTGAAGCAGAGTGCACCAGTATAAAGAGACACTTGCCCATTTTTAGGCTTTTTTTCCAAAGGTCACATCTTCCCTGTGTTCTTTACAAAGCTTTTCTTTTTTTTTTTTTTTTTTACACCACATAATTCTGGTTTTTCTGAGCCTATCAAAGGTGAACTTCCTAGCTGGGAATCTAGTAAATTAAGATATACTATCAAAGTGTTTATGTAATTTACAGCATAAATTATTTAGTGTGGAACCTGTGCTTTTGCAGCCCAGCAAAACAGCATGCAGGCTGTGGGCCTTTAGAAGTTGAAGCTAGTTGCTGCCGATAGCAATAGGGATAAGCTGCTCTGGACATATCTTACATATTGTGTTTTACTAATTAATCATGGATTTTATTGAGAGAAATTGCASCTGTCTGTGGCTGTTGTTAAAAGATGGTGTTTCCAAAACAGTGTTTTTGGATTGCTGTAGAAAATGAGAGCCTTGGAAAATTTTCTCCAAATCAATCTCCAAATCAATGCGAGCCTGGCTATGATAGTTGCCTGAGCCCTGGGGGACAGAGTGAGGCCACTGGCTCTGCGCTTAGCCTGCTGAACAGCAGCGGCTCCATCACTTCTCCCCAGGCTTCTTGCACCTCATCAGTAAAATGAGCATAATTATGGTTGTCTTTTATGTTGTACTTGCAATGTACTAATAGAGAGCACTAGAAGACAGCTAAGTGTCATTTGCAATATTTTGCAGCCTGATTACAAAGCAGTATTGAGTAGTTTAGCCATTTAGTCACTTTAAGGTATGTTTTTTTTACAGACACTAAAGTATTTCCTGCGGTCCACTGTGAAATATATTGAGTTTACTAACATTTATCTGCTAGCCACTTAAGAAGCAATTGCAAGTTTAATACACTGTAAAATACTGCAAGTTTTCTTCTTTTTAAGTAACTTTGTAATTAGCCAGTGTAGCATTACTGATGTATTCCACACCTCTGCATTTAATGCGTTCCCTTTTATCAAGTAATTAATGCTGGAAATTGGTAATCCCTTCATTTCATGGTGGGCTGACACTGCATATACCCATAAATTTAAATAATGAATTTAAAAAGATACTAGATTTAGTAATAGGATTTATCTTTATTTTAAACCTTATTATGCRGCTTTTTAACTCGGCACCTTGGTGCACCTTTGCTCAGCTGTTTGTGACACAAAAGCAGAGCAACCCTAGCCCACTTGATGTGTATTTTCTAGAAGCTCCTCTCAGAGTAATGGATGATACTAGGAGTTAGTGACTGTAATAGGATGGTCTTCTCAGCAGCACGGATTCTTTAGTCTAAGGTAATGCAATAGAAGTGATTTAATGGTAATAGGGAAAGCCAGMCATGTGTGATTTGGTTGGTGTCTTGTATGTTGCAAATATCTAACCAAATCCATTTCCCCCCCTCTTTTTAAGGCAAGCTCCCTAGGGCAATTGCTACGTCCAACACTGTCATGTGTGCAGAGCCTGGCATATACGAACCTCTAAATTAGGCTGTGCCACTGCAGTGCCAGTGCCAATACTATTGTCCATGTATTTTAGCTGAATAAGCCTTCCTTCAGAAAAGAATTTAAAAAAGCAAAAAGCTACAGAATCATCAGACTTCCTTCCCCCGTCTGTATTCCATTTGTTCCCTCTCCCTGACCCCAAGGTTTAATGTATGTAGACTAGCTACATCGGGGTCCTGCTGGGCAGGTTTACCATAAAACACCCTGACCTCCCACATGTGGAGATCACACTGATGCGTGTGCTTTCACCACGTGTGCAGCCGGCATTAGATGAGTTTTTTCCCCGTGCCATGGAATAAAATTTCTGCAGGGTTTCACCGGATCCAGCATTTCCACGTGGCCCTGCAGCATGCCGTGGGCGCACGGCTCTGCCTGGCATGCTGCCCAGCCGCCCACCAGGCTGCTTGGAACAGCACCGTGCTGAGAAGCATTAAAAGTAGCAGCACTATTAATACGGAATAGCCCAGTGTCAGCAATTCCGGGCAATTGTCTGTGATTGACTTGGGGCTGAGGACCATAAAATGATAAAAGCGGCAAA